TCCACCTTCTTTCACTGAATGCATGATTCTGGAAATCTACATATTGGTTTATACGGGGTGAAAGATACAATGATTTACTTAGAATAGGTGATGGAGATGGGAATTTTGGGGACTCTGGGAACAGCTACAGTTGGACCTCACAGATGTTGAATGCAAACACTGGAACTGGAGCAATTCAGTGCAGCTGCAGGAAATGGATTATCTCACTGTCCTTTCAACAACAGGACTTCATTGACCCCCATCTTTGTTACCGTGACTCATTCCACTGCCTCTACTTCTGCCGCTCCTTTGTTACCTATTACTTCACCATCCACTTTATACATCTTGACGCTATCTAATGGCTTCAGTTTACTGAAAACTTGCCCTTTTTATAGCTTCTCAGGGCTTCTTTTTGCTGTCTGATTTTTTAGCTTCTGCTTCCGCCATGTTATTTTCTCTTCCCATTTCCAGTTCAAATTCTTGAAAGAGAGTGGGTGCTCATGTCAGGTTACCTCTTGAGGTTGGCTGCCCTTGGGTTATACAGTTCATGAAGGGGGTTGTATGCTATAGATCATGCCTCAGGTTGCTGCTTCAGCTGGGTCCACTGGCTGGCGTAGTTCCCTCAAAAAGGGAATCTGATACAGCAATCCCTTGAATGACCTCCCAGGCATACTCTTTTTGTTTTTATTGCATTTCTTTGATTTTTTTTTTCTTAAAGTATGTTTAACATACCACAAAAGCAACATTTTGATATATTTTTCATGTTTTTTAAAACAAAATTCTTTTTAATTTAAAATAAACATGCTATCTATTTTAACATGTTATCTATTTTAACTATTTTAACAACAGCTGTTGTTCAACTGACTTTAATAGAAATATAAAATATTTGAACTAGGTCGGGCACGGTGGCTCATGCCTATAATCCTAGCGCTTTGGGAGGCCAAAGTGGGCAGATCACTTGAGGCCAAGAGTTCGAGACCAGCCTGGCCAACATGGTGAAACCCTGTTTCTACCAAAAAAATACAAAAATCAACCAGGCACGGTGGCACACGCCTGTAGCCCCAGCAAGTCAGGAGGCTGAGGCGCAAGAATCGCTTGAACCCAGGAGGTGGAGGTTGCAGTGAGCTGAGATGGTGCCACTGCACTCCAACCTGGGTGACAGAATGAGACACTGTCTCAAAAACAAAGCAAAACAAAACAAACAAAAAAAAAAAAAAAAAAAGAAAGAAAGAAAAAAGAAAGAAAGAGAAAGATATTTGAACTAAATTTTTCTTAAAGTTCCTGAAATCTAATGTCTTAGGGAAAATGTTTATGTTTATAATGTTCAACTGTCACTTTTATACAGTTACTTGCAAGAAGATAAATGCATTTTAAGAGTTAGTTTAGAATTATGCATGTGGATATCAGAGACTAGCAAAGATGAGCAGAAAAGATCTGGAATATGTTGACTTTTATAAAGTAGGTTAAAAGCATTTTCCTTTTGAAACAGAATGTTCTCTTAGGCATTTTTCTGGTGCTTTGCGATTAAAATATAAATGGTTATGTATAAAACTTAACTGCAGACTGTTATTGTTGGAAATTATTTTTATACACACAAATAGTGATGAAAAGGAAAGTAGACTGGAAACATAATTTGTGCTTTCGTTTTACTCTGACTTAGAGGGAAGACAACTGAAATTGCCTTCTATACTACCTTACCACTGCAAAATGGGAAGTGAAGTCAGACAGTAAACTGCTTCCTGTCTTCTTGCAGGAAGGAAACAAATTATATATAAATACACATAGCCAAACTTCAGTTTCTCTCCACTCAATCTATCCTATGCACGGCCCTGATTTGGCATTAGTAAAATGTTATATTATTTCCCTTTTGTCAACCTTGGGTGTATATTAGAACCACTTGGGAAGCTTTTTAAAAAACCCAATGTCTAGCCTCACACCCCAATTTTTTTTATTTATTTAGTGTGGGGTGTGGTTTGAGTACTGATAATTTTGAAAGGCATCCTAAGTGATTCTAATGAGCAGAGAGGAAGCCACAAGGCAAAAGGAGAAAATCTGAACAACTGAGCTTGCCGTCAAGGTGCTCTATTATCTATCTGCAACCTAGCTTGCCAGGCTTGGCTGACCCAAATTGCCTCCCATGCCCTCTGAACATTGCTTGTACTTCTTCTCTTGTGTTATCTCTCCAGGCATTCTAGGAGTTACTTTCTCACACATTTAATCTGGTTCAAATTCCTCCTCATTTTTCTAGACTCAGCCCATTTTACCTCTTTCATGAAGCCTTCCCTGACTGCGCTTGACTGCAATGCTTGCATCCTCCTCTGAAAACACAGTGGTTATTGCCTAGAAAATCATTTGAACAATGAATCAATTATGTACTGCCTTATGTAATCTCTCCACCGTTGCATTAAATAATCACTTTAATCTTTGCTTAACCTTTCATCTGTTTGTTATCCAGCTACCTGTACTGTAAGCAAGTTTCTAGCATTCATCTATATTCTTGACAAGCCACGTGCCTTGTACAGTACAGGAAGTCAATAATGTTTACCTCTCCCTTCCATCCTGACTTCCACAGGTTTGGTTCAAGATTCTCTCCTGGAATCTTGTCCTGGTCTTGGCTGGCCTTCCTGCCACCAGACACTTTGGCTCTTCAAATCAGGTCAACACATTACTGGCACACATGGCCAATGACCTGTAAAACTGATGGGGTGTGTGTGTGTGCATGTGTGCAAGTGTGCACTCTTTTGCTCACTCTTGTTTCTATCTTATGATTTGGCTGACTGGGTTTCTTTCCTTCCTTGGTCCCTCACTGTCCTACTCAATGGGACTTGATGGCAGAATTCAACTTCTCAGGTTTTGACCTCTTGTTTTCTCTCAGGTGAATAACATGCTGCCTGGATCTTCCTGTTCCTATTCCTTTGAGTAAACACTTGTGCTGAACAGGCTCTGGCCAAGGGGACCTAAGTTAAGTCAATCTGATCTGTCAAGAGTTTCCTCTCTACCCTGTATTTTCTTTTTTTGGATTCTCACAATTTAAAAGAAACCTGATTGTATTGTCCACATGATTAAAAGCTGTTGTTGGTCCCTCATTGCCTTTAGAAGAAAATCTAAACCTGAGCTATCCAATATGGGAGGTGTTAAAGTTAAAATTAAAAATTAATGCCAGACATGGTGGCTCACACCTGTAATCCCAGCACTTTGGGAGGCTGAGGTGTGTGGATCACCTGAGGTCAAGAGTTCAAGACCAGCCTGGCCAACATGGTGAAACCCTGTCTCTACTAAAAATACAAAAATTAGCTGGACGTGGTGGTGGGTGCATGTAACTCCACCTAGTTGGGAGGCTGAGGCAGGAGAATTGCTTGAACCTGGGAGGTGGAAGTTGCAGTGAGCTGAGATCCCACCACTGCACTCTAGCCTGGGTGACATAGGGAGACTCTGCCAAAAATAAAAAATAAATAAAATAAATAAAAATTGAGTTCCAGCCGTCTATGGTAGTTCATGCCTGTAATCCCAGCACTTTGGGAGGCTAAGGTGGGAGGATCACTTGAGCACTGTACCCCAGTTTAGGTGACAGCGTGAGATCTTGTCTCAAAAATAAATAAATAAATAAATTGAGCTCTTCAGTCACACCATGTTTCAAGTATTTGATAGCCACATGTGGCTAATGGCTACTGTTTTGGACAACACAAATATAGAAGATTTTCACCATTGCAGAAGGCTCTGCTTGACAGTTCTTGTCTGAATATCTTAGTGTAGCTTGTGAGGTCTTTTACAATCTCACCTCAACCTTTTGCTCCAGCCCAATTTTTGGCTGTTCCTCATTGTTTAACCCCATCTACTTTCTCAATGTTCCACAACGGCTCTGTGCCCTTTCATAGCTCCATGCCTTTGAACATGGTGTTCTCTCTTTCTGAAATACCCTTTGACTTTCTTCTCTGGCAAAGTCCTATTTACCTTTTAAGATCCAACTCAAACATCACCTTCCTTGTGGAGTTCGCTGACTTTCCTAAACAGTCATTTCTTGTCCTCTGTTTCCATTGCTCATTGAACCAATCTGTATTGTCCTTATCACAGTAGTTTGTTATTATTTACTTATTAATCTGATCCTCCTTTTGGAGGGAGGATCCTATCTGTTTTAGCAATCTGCCCTAATAATTACCTGAAATTGTTTGCTTGATACCCTTTTGATAATCAAGTAACATATCTTCTTCTTTATGTGCTTGTTATTTATAAGTTCAGCATGTTTGAAAAGTTCACTTAGTGTTTCTGGAGAAATCCTGCCCATTTCTAGTGTAAAGCTAGAATGACTTCCTGTTTTCTAGGGTGGAGGTCAGTTTTTCTTCTAATTAATCTTGACCAGACTTGAGAAGGATGTGGTAGGAGGGGTTTCCAAGGTCAAAAACAGCAGGACTGTCTGCAGGAGCAGGTTCAGGTGTTCTCAGGTTCCAGTTATTATACAAAATATTTAGTATATGTTCAGAGAAAAAGTAGGGAGTAATGATGGAAAAAATAAAAACAACCTCCATGGAAAGAAAACCGGGGTATCGTATTTGACTTTTTCCAGGCTAAGCCCAAAAGCAATGATGTAGTGAGGGGGAAGTTTTTATTTCCATTTTGCAAAAACGTAATTTTTTTTTCCTCCCGGGATTTGGTAAGATTTTCATAAATTCTTGTGAATTCAATTACAGGGAAGTAAATCCTAATTACTAGTAAACTATCAATTTGTTTCTCTTTTCTTACAAAAGAGAAACAAATTGATACACTTCACATCACCCGGTAAAGCTTATTTTTTCTGAGAAGGCCATAAGCCCTAACGGCTCAGAATCTAAGAGACCTTCACTGATTGTCATCGCCTAGCGGCCACCGCAAACCTTACAGTCAATCATCTTCCCCCGGGCCCCGGATCACGCCCATTGCTCAGACCACGCCCACTCAAGTCTCCTCAGAGCTCCGCCCCAGGCGCAGCAGAAGAAGATTCTCATTGGTGGAGAAGTTGTTCTGATCCCGCCCCGGAGGACTGCGATAGGCTGAATCGGCGTGGGGCGGTGGTGGTTGGCTGCTTGAGGACGGGTCCCTGGTCGTGCCTGTCAGAGAGGCTGGCGGCAGTGGCGGCTCTCCGGGCTGGGTTGTCAGTCAGTGAGAGGAGGTGGAAGATGGCTCGCCGGGACCCGTTCTGCTAGGAAGAAGGGGAGCAGGTGGTGCTGCTACTCGGGAGGAAGCAGAGCAGCTGCCGTCGCTGTGGCTGCGAGCCTCACGAATCGAGGTCCTGCAGGTGGAGCTCCGGCAGCCGCTCTGGTGAGTCCAGCCGAGAGACCCACGCCGGGCCCCCAGGGCGTCTGGCGACAGATAACTTTTTTTTTGTCAGGGAGGAGCCGGGGCGAGGCGGCGGCAAGGACAGGACCGAGACTTTGTCCCCCGGGCCGCGGCTCCACTGGGGGTAACGGCTCCCGCGCGAGGCGCCACGGGTGGGCGCGAGGCGGCGCCAGGCGCTGGGGGCTTCTGGCGGGCGGGTGGGCTGCGGCCGGCGAATGTTCGCCCCGAAGTTGGGCGCAGCCCGCCCGCTGCCTGGAGGGCGGCAGCTTTGTGCGCGCGATTCGGGTCTCTCCTTCCCGGCGAGGAGCAGTCCAGCCTTCTGCCGTGACCCGGGTGCCGCCGCCTCGGCCCCACCGGCCGCTCCTCTGCGGGATGGGCCTGGGGCGGGAGCCCCCGGTCCCCTCCCTGCCGCGGCGGATGCTCCGGCCTCTGCCGCCTCTCCCATCCGCGCTCTCCGCTCCCGCGAGGCCGCCGCTGTCCGTCCGGTCTGGTGGCCACAATGGTCACTATCGACCCCCCGCCCCCGCCCCTTGGGAGGATAGTGTTGGCCTGAGTCGTTCTTGGGTCCCCTGCAGGGCGGAGAGGTTCAGACAGCAGCCACGCTTCCTTCATGGGTTATTACGCTGAAGATCTCTTCTTGAGCCCTTGCCCTTTCTTTCTATGAGTTATTCCTCTCCCGAGGCTCATTTTAACATACTCGGGAATCCTCGGGGGTTTGGCTCCAAATGGTTGCATTAAAACACCCCCAAGTTTGTATGCTTCAGAGCGAAATTTGGTGTCCGCCCGTCAGCTTGCACATGTGTGCTTTGTGAGTTTAGACCTTCCTGAAAGATTTTAATTTTGCCTAAGTGGTTTAGTACTGCACAGAATCTGCTCTCTGAGAAATACACTATCACAAGCCTGACAGCCGTGGCGCTCTTCAGGTAGGGGGAATTCGTTCCACCGGCAGCTACTCCTTATCTCAGAGACTGCGCTACAGGCAGTAGGGCCAAGCTGACCTTTTGCAAATTATTTATCCTTGGGTCACACAGTAGTTTTTTGGAGCAGGTGGGCCACCTCTTTGGTTCATGTAACACTTGACAGTTTGAGGTTTTCAGCTTTCATATCTTATTGGCATACAGTCAGAAAGACTGGGAGGCTTGTTTTCCATGAGAACATTCTTCTGCTAACATCCACAGGCACCCCACCTCCCCCGACATTTCTAAGTATTTTTTTTTCTTTAGGTGAACACATTTTAAGGTTTACAGGATGAATAGTAGTCTAAACCCCCATATTTTTGAAGTGCAGGCAAAGGCAAGGAAGGAAAAACATTTAAGATCTGCTTGGCCAATAGTAGCTTCAAAGTTAGCTATTCAAATAATCAGTTCAATCAAACCAAGTGGCAAGGGGGAAAAGCATCACATATTTAGGAAACAAATTCTGGATTTGACTCGTTTATCCTTATTCAATTTATTGAAATTACCGTAGAGGGATTAGAAGGATTAGAAACCTTCTTAGTCATCGGCATTAGCAGTACCTGGATACAGACACCCGATGAGGCATTAGCTGGGTCAGCGTTTATCCTTGCTGTGCTTCCTTTCTTTGTTGTATTTCTGTTTTATGAAATTTGCTCTGGGTTGTATTTTTTAGACTGGTGTCTTTTTGACAATGTGTTTAATATATGTACTGTTTTATTCAGCATCCTGTTGCCTAATATTTATTTTATAATGGATCTTAAGAAATTTTAAGAAATCAGTATTCAAGACCTCTTTTGGGGTATCGTTTATATTTTATAAATAATTGCAATTATGTCAAGCATAAATTTATTTTTTTCACTCTTCCAGGCTGAGTAGGTACTAGGGATACAGAAATGAATGTCATAGCTCTTGTCTTAAAGGAATTTACTATCTAATATACAAGGTGTTAGTAACATTACAGTAAATTAACAATTATAATACTATGTAGTCAGTGGGAATGGAGATATGCCTAGTGTAGTAGGAGAGTTTAGAATAGGAGATGGTTAACTTGCCTTGAGTGTAGGTGGAGTTGGGAGCACACAGCCAAGTTGTGAAGGATGATATAATTTTGCCAAGTGCAGGAGGTAAGTAACTTCCCAAGAGGAGGATATAATAAATGAGAAGGCAAGGAGGCCTGAGAAACTGTGGCGATTTAGATAAGTCATTGACAATGACAAGTCAGTGTCAATTGACATTGACAGTTGACAAAGTCAGTAACATTGACATTGATGTGGCTTGAATGCAGGGATTAGTAGGGAAATGGTGCCAGATGAAGATAGTGAGGGTGATAGAGGGCCAGATCAGGGAATGGTATCCTTAGCTAAAGTGATTGGATTGAACGTGATAGATGAGAAGCCATTTATTGGATTTGTATTTTAGACCTTTACTGTGGCAGAGTGAGGGAAAAACTGACAGGTCCTAATCACCTATGAGAAGAAAGGAGGACTCAGGACTCTGAAGGTTTGACTTGGGTTCTGTTGATTGGAAATGAGGAACACATAAATAGAAGGAAGATAATAAATTCTGTTTTGAATTTGAAGAAGCAGTGGAACTTCAGGTGAATATATAGATAGATGTTTGTGTCTATGGATGTGAAAATCAGGATTAAAGAGATGACTGGGGGTTGAATTGAAGCTGTATTGATTTGGTTGTGTTGAAATGACTCAGGGAAAGCCTTTAGCATGATGAAAGTGGCAGCTAGAGAACAGACTCTCATAAATAGCAGAAGTAGGGAGAAGAATTGTCTGAAAGTTAGAGGAACAGTAGCTAGCAAGGTAGGAGGACCATCAGGAAAGATGCCAAGGGTGGGGAGATTTTCCAATGGAGGAGGAACAGGTTAACATTTTTGAATGCTGCAAGGAGGTGTCAAGTTAGGAGAGGGCCCCAGTGACCACTGAATTTGTCAGGACTCCATAGGTAACTTTAACAAGAACAGTTTTAACTGAGTGGTTCAGAAACCAGGCTTCAGAAGATTGAGAAAGAATGGGTGTGATAAAGTAGACATGTTTGATTGAGACTTTTTGAGAGAACTGAAATAAAGAAGGGAGAAAATGATAGCTATAGCTTTCATTGAGCAGTGGTTCTCAATCTTGGCTATGCATTTATTTACAATATTGTAATAATAATTTACAATAATCTTAGGAGCTTTAAAGAATTTTGTTTTCCAGAGAGAACCCCTATACCAATTTGGTGTGGGGGGTGTTGAACCCAGATATCAATATTTATTTCAACAGCTTTTCTGTTGAAATGTAATTGATATGTAATATACTACATATATTTAAAGTGTACAATTTGATATTTGACATATGTTTATACCTGCAAAACCATCACCATAATCAAAATAATATTCACCTCCAAAAGTTTCCTGTGTCCCTTTATAATCTTTTCCTCTTATCCCCAGGAAACCACTGTCTACTTTCTATCACTATTGATTACTTGCATTGATACTTTTTTATAGTTCCTTAAGTAATTCCAGTGTGCAGCCATGATTGAAAACTATTGCAGAGGAATATTGTTTGAAGGAATGTTATGTTTGTTTACATGCATAAGGAAAGAGAGAGTAGAGACAAGTGGGAAGAGATTCTTAAGCAATTTAGGAAAGATGAGATAATTATTGGAACTAAGACCCTGAGGAGCTAGAAGTGGATGGAATTCAGAGCTTTGACTAGTAAGAAAGGAAGACATTTCTGGAAGCGACATCTCTAAGAATATAATGTTAAAGACAGTATATTTCTTTGTTATCATCATCAAAGTTGGCATATAGTATCCAAATTGGTTCCCTGAAGTACTTCTGAAGTACTTAAAAAAGTTAGAGAGCATGTTAACATTGTGAAAATGGATACTGCTCAGAAAAATTCCTTAAATGGAGCCTGAGATCCCTGGCATCATCATGTAGTGCTTTGTCATTTTTTTGGAGGGGAGCAGATGGAATTAGCAGTTTGACTATTGCTTATTGTTGAGAGCCAAGTCCTGCCATAGACTTTTTGACCTTCTCAGAGTTAGGCTGCATATCTGCACTAAGGGAAAAGAACATTTAACACTTGAAAATCTCCTATTTAAGGTATCTTTGCTCAGAAGAAATCTTGTTTGCTTGCCCTTTGGATATATGCCTTATAAATACATTTGAGGATAAAATCATTCCTCTGTCTCCTAAATGAGACAGAGAAGAGTTTTGACTAGAAGTTCTCAAAGGCCCACATTTTCTATCTTGAGAAGGGTAATAGCTATCCTCACCTCACCACCTTTTTTTTTTTCTTTTTGAAATTTCTGGCTCAGGATTTGGAAATAGGTAAAATTGAGTCCTGCTGGTTCTGAGGTCCAGGGCTTGTTCCTCAGCCTTGACTCTAAGCTTTCATAGGGGGCTGAAAACAGAATAGCTTATCCAAATATTATTTGGCCTTGTAACTTGGTCATAAATAAAGAAGAAGTGAAAAGTTTTGTCTGATTGTATTCTAGAGTTCTGAAAATTTCTTTCATTGTGATTAAATAATTAAAGTATGATTCTTTTCTAGAGAGGAAAGTCATCCCTAATTTTGGTGCAGCCTAAAAGAGTGGAAATATTGATGTTAGCATGATTTTGGACATTATTATTATAGTCACAGCCATATTGTAAACATTCTATATTTTCTTAATTACTATTATAATAATCATTGTAGGAAATTTGAAAAATTCAGGAAAGCATAAATGGTAAATAACACTTATAATGTCTCCACCCAGAGATCCTTATTTCTTTTGTGAATTACCTATTAGTGTCCTTTGTCTATTATAACACTGGAGATTTTTAAATACTAAGTTATGAGAGCTCTTTGTATATACAAACTATTAGGTCTTTGTCAAATTACATTGCAGATAATTTCCCTAGTTTGTCATTTTTATCTTAATTTTGTTTTTGATGTGAATTTTCTTTTTAAACAGATTGCTAACATTTTAATATGTTTAAACTTATCAAATTTTTATTTTATGATACCTTGCTACTTAGAAAGGGCT